AATAATAATAATGAATGTTATTCAACTATTTTCTTGGGCTTACAATTGACATTGTCGGCAATAAATAATGATATATAGATGTTCTTTCAATAGTTGAAGAATTATCAGGCTTTTTTAGCTTTAAATTGGAAAGAAGATATTTAATCTTTTATTATCTATTATAACTGACGAAGCTCAAACAAAGTAATTTAATTTAGTTTAGGCTAAATAATTTTTTCTAATTTGATCAAATAAGTAATAAGTACTTTTCTAAAAATATTTTGGCTCAATAAAAAAATAGACTAAATTAATCCAATTACGAAAGTTTACCCACCCTAAATTAAATATAAATTATATTAATCTTTACCCATATCGCATTTCCTAGATAATCTAACTTTCACTCAATTTAGTTAATAACCTAATTATTAAAATTTATTTTATAAATTCAGTTTTGATTGGATTCTAAAAATATATATGTGTTTCTACATAAAAATATTCTCTTATAATATAAAGATTGTTTCATTATTAATTTTTTACTTTAATTCATTTTCATTTTTGATTCTTTTTAAACTATTATTAATTAAAATGGGATTTTATTAGTGATAAAGCATCTATATAAAAATTAAATAGAGTAATTCAATTACAAGAAATCATGAATACTTATCTGAAAAAGGTGCAAATTAAACAACTATCTTTAATAACATACACTATAAAATTATTAAAAAATGAAAATGCCATTGTATTAATACATTTAAAATTTTGAATCTATTAATTTTAATAAAATTTAAAAAATTTTTTCATTTATTGGCCTAAGTTATATGATAAATTAATTTTAATCAGATTTACATTACTTTGAAAGTTATGTAGAAAATTAATAGTTTTTATGCTTGGTCTTGAGAAGACATAGTAAACAGTATCTGTTCGATTTTATAAAAAAAATAATTAATCTTGTTATATTCAGATTTAATTAATTTTGAATTAAATTTTCAAGAATTTTGTGCAAGGGAATTAACAATAGATATGAAAATAAAATCGAAATATTATTATAAAGAGAAGGATGAAGTAATCTTAAGAAATAAAACAATTTGAGCTCAGTAAAAATTATTATACCTATAGGAAATATAAAATTTTAGATAATGAATTATTAATGTGATATAAATTAAATAAGATTGATATACTTATTTTGAAATTTAAATCTAATGATTATTTCAAATTTTTATTCTTAGAAAAGGTATTAAACTTTTTATATTAACTCAAAGAGGAAATTATTTAAAAAATTCGATCTTGAAATATTAAAAGAAAATACATGCTGCTAATCTCATAAGCAAGATATAAATTAGATTGTTCTCAAAAACAATTGATTAAATAATATATCGTATATTTTAGATATAGTTGAAAACCTCAATATTTTATTTTAATAGTTATAAAGTATGATATATTAAGTTTAATTAACATTTTAAAAAAGGAATAATTGAAGTGATCTATTGATATTTTATATTATTTCATTATACCTATAGTAAATTTTAATGAAAATTTTTATGATTTCTCGTGTTGTTCATTTTATAATTATAAAATTATCAATCATTTATGTTGTAATTATAATTATCATAATTTAGCGAAAAATTTTCTACTTTTTATTTAATTCATTTTATACATAAATTTCTGTAATATTTGTAAGTATTAATATTGATCATTATATCTAACTTAAATTTAACGAATTATTAATCATTTATTCCTTCTATTAAAAATTCAACCCCCAATTACAAACTAAATCATATCAAATTATTTTTTAAAATTTTAAGTCACAATTCTTCTCTAAATTACAAAATTTTCAAGACGATTTACTCCCTAAATCATCATAATAATGAGATAGATAATCCAAAAATAAATTAGAAAATAAACTTAAAATTATTCCCTCAACTTGAATATTGTTTTTACTATTCTCTCTAAATATTAATTGCATAATTATTGAATCATCCATAATTAATGAAGAATTTTAAATACAAAAAAAGAACGAATTTCAATTTATAAAGATGAAACTGGTATTGCAAATGAACATCAATATTTAAAAGTTTTACAACAGAAAGTCAAAAGTTATGTAATAGACAGAATATAACTAAGCCAAAGAATAAATATAATTCGAGCAATTGGGTAAAATTTATTAGTTTATTAATGTTGTAAATGTAATTTAGATGTAGTAACTGTACAAAATTTTTCATAAAAAAATTGCTTAAATTTGATTGAAAACATATGGAGATAATTTAAAGGCTAATTAAGTAAATAAGTTTTAGACTTATGCGAAAATTTTTTTTATAAGATATGTATTTCAAGCAATCAAAAATTATTTTATAATAACACTTGCAGAGCAATAGATAAAATAGAAAGTGAGTAATAATAATAAAATAAAATATTTAAATAAAAAAATAGTTAAAGAAGAGTATGTATTTAAGTTTTAAATTGGACTGAAGAAATTTTTTATTTCAATTTATTTTGGCTGTATAACTCAATATATTTAATAATAAATATTTAATTTGAATTTAATAACAATAAATGACTTTGCCTTTTTAAAAAAATATCTAGTTTAAGCATTTCGTGGCTTATTCTCAAATCACCAACTCTAATGTTTAATGTTTAATTTAGAAGAGTTTCATTACATACCTGAAATTAAAATTCTTATACAACTACTTAAAAATTAGAATTACATGTTCAAATTCTTAAGAATTAGGTCTATGCATTAAAATAATAAACATCTTAATTAGAATTGAATATTTAGAGAGAAAGTTGTACTTAATTTATTAATGAGTTAGTAAACTTAATTTTAAGACTTCTAAAATTATATTGAAAGATAATTAACAACTATAAAAATAAGTAATGTTGAAATAAAAAGGAATGACAAGATCAAAAAGTTGTAAAAATAATATGATAATTTATTATAATAATTTGAATAGTTTGATTGTTAGAAATCAAAAGTATTAGATTAAATGAATCAAATATATAAGATTGAAAATTTGGTAATGGATCAAGAAGAAAAGATTATTGGATTGATAATAGAGAATGAAAAGTTGAATTAAAAGATTTAAGAAGAGATGAAGATAGATTAGAATATAGAATTCTTATACTCAGAAGTATAATAAAACTTGCTTATATATAAAAATCGATTCATGAAACATTTTAATATTTATTTAAATATGATATGGAATTTATATTAATTTATACTACAAATTAAGACGAGAAAGTAAACAAAAAATTATAGAGTAATGAGTAAGGAAAAAGTAATTGAAATATAAAAGAAATTCTAATTTACAGAATTTTATACTAAAAATCACAAGCAAATTTATTCAAAAGCGATTGCTGCGAATGCTAATAAGATTATGTATAAACTAAATAATCGATATAATAGAATGTTTTATTGTATCGATTATAATTATTTTATTTTATTTTCTTTATATGTTTAAGGATAAATAAAATTAGAAAAGATACTTAATAAAAAGTAATTAGTTGGCAAATGTTGAATTCTAAATAGACAGATAAGATCTGTTTTGAAATTTTAGCACATGATATTTAGAAGAAGGTAATTAAAAACTAATAAAATAAAAATTAGATTTGAGAAGTATGTTAGAAAGCTTTAATTAATTGAATTAATCAGAATACTCTGATAAGTTATCA